CCTTTAAGACGTCGACTCAGGTTAATGTGATCACGATGATGAATGTGAGTCAGCGTGGAACCTGAAACTAAGAATTCTTCTTTGTTTCAGCTGTTTTCAGAGAATTTGGATTCACGATGAGTTTGTCTCCAGGATGGTAACGTCTCATCATCATCATCATCATCATCATCATCATCAGCAGGAGGAGGTAAGAGGATTTCACAGTTGACACTGATCTCATCTTAATCTCATGCTGCTGAACACTCGTGACAAACCTCAAGGAAAACTCATTTAAAATGCAAATTCAATTCTTATACACCGTGAATCTCTCCTCCATCCATCTCAACTATTTCACTCTGTATATTCTTAGTTTATAGACGTAGGTCGCTGTTAATAATCCGAACTTCATGGAGAAATTCATCTGGATTCAGTCGTTACCCTGAGTCCTCGTACGTACCTGTCTCCTCGGAGGTAGTCCAGGCGGCTCTGCATCATGAACTCTCGTCTCCGTCGGTACTCTCGGGCTCTGAGCAGCTGCTGCTTCCTCTCCTCTTTGCTCCAGTAGCGGCCCTGTTTCGAGAAATCGAGAGAATCAAGCTCATTTGATTTAACAAACAAGTGAGTTAAACACTGAACAAAGTTCAAGCAGAAACTGTGCAACGTTTGAAATATTTTGTTCTTGATTCTCAGGTGAACTTGAAGAAATTCTCACAGCAACTTCACCCTCTTAGAAAAGACAGAATTTAGAAGTGTTATAAAAATCTGTTGAGTGTTTTAACTTTTATTTTCTGTCTAGTAGATCTAAGAACTTGAGCTGCAGATCTGAGAACAGATTTCCCAGAGTTGTGTCATGTGAACAAACCCTGAAAACCTTTGAGAGTTTCCTGGTCACTCCCATCGTCTCTTCAGGCAGTTTGAGCCTTAAAGTGTTTTCACTCCACAAAGTGACATCGTTAAACTTCTGCTGTTTGACAGATGGAAAGATTTCTGTGATCACTGTTTGGACTCTACCTGTTTCATCTCGCTGGCAGCGTCGTCGTCAGTCGTCATGCCGCTGCGCTCCTCCCTGATCTTCATGGCTCTGGCCTTCAGCAGACGGTCCCTGACCGGCCGCTTGGCCACGTAGCGGGTCCCATCGCTGCGGATCTTTACCTGCAGACGGGACAAATCTTGTCTTAATGAAGTCACACTAAAGGCAGGCAGTCGTAGAGACGTTATGTGTCCTTCACCTCGATGGAGTCGTGATTTAACCTCAGCACCCACGCTGATCCTGGATCATTGAGTTGCAACCTACATTTCCTTACACTCGACATTGTATAAAACTCATAAAACCTTCTCCTTCTTTGGTTCCGCCATGTTTACCATTGTTTGAATTAGCTGCTGATATGATGATGTTTGTTTCGGACGCTGTTGTCAGGGCGACGGGAGGATGTTGTTTAATCCCGTACAAACCTGCTGGTGATCTCAGATCTGCAGATGTTTGTGAAGCACTTTGTTGATTTGTTTTTGAAAAGCTCTACTTAAGTAAAGTTTTATTATTATTATTGGCGCATGGGTCCTTCAAAATAAAAGTTGGACCTTCTCCCAACTCACTCATCTTAAAAATGTGTCACGCCCACCTGAGAACCTGAGACCATCTTTAAGAGCCTCCGTGCTGACTCCATTATCAGTCTCACGCTCTTTACCTTCCACTCCATGCGTTGCCGTGAGGCCGTTGGTGACGACTGCGTCAGCCCAAGTGGTAAGACCAGTCCTAACCGCGAGGCGCCAGTGTGGCGGTCCTCCAGACCACAGGGGGCGCTGTTCACACTCCTCGGACTGGCCGGGCCGCTGCTCCCTGTGCCCGCCCCCCTCTCCTCACCCTCGGCCCTCGCTCGGTCTCTGACTCGGTCCAGGGGGTCCACCAGGCCCTCGGAGGGCAGCGTCATACAGCTCTGGTAGCGCTCCGGTGGTTTGTTGTGGCCGTGGTGGCGCCGGGAGAAATAGGGACTGGACTCTGCACTTCCACCTCCAGACCTGTTGGCGGCTCCATCTGCAATGTTACCGAATATAGTACAAAGTTTAAAAAAACTGTAAAATTTACAAGAGGGTCAACTTTTGGATTCAAGCGTTTTCTTCTTCATGACTTGTTGTCGGCACACTGCTGTTATTTGTTGGTGAATTAGCGCCACCCGCTGTTGATCAGTGGAAAAACCGCAAAACTGCTAATGTCAAACGTTAACGTTGTTTTTAACGCGTACCTGCTATGTAGCTCCGCCCTCTTTCGACCACACCCCTTCTTGAAGACGACGCCCCCTCCCTGGTCAGAGACCTGATGATGGAAACAGAAACACGTGGGGCGATATTTAAACGTAACTCAGATCCACACCTGCAATCTCACAAAGCTGAATGTAATGACGTGTTAGCATCAGCGAAATAAACATCAAGACCTGAACTTGGAGGGTGTGGAGGGGGTGGAGCTTGAGCCATTTGCCCCGTTGCCATTGGCTGTTTCGCATTTCCTGTAGGTGCTTGGGGAGAAGGAGCAGCTGAGGTTTGAGTGGCGTCTCTCTCGGTCCCGCCTGTGACGCCGCGGGGTCAGAGGGGAGTTCAAAGGGGGGAGGTGACTGAGGGGGAGGAAAGGAGGCGGAGACATCAGTCGCCGCCCCGCTTCATCTTCCTCTTCCTGCAGAGGCGGGATCTGCTCCGTGCTGACCAATGGCGTGCTCCGGCAGCTCTCACCCCCGGTGTTGTAGGCGCTGGTGCTGTCTTTGTCGTCCGATCGCTCGCGCTCCGGGAGCTCGTTGATGGACGACAACTCGTGATGATGAGGGTCGTCGTTGTCATCGTTATCCACGTTAACCACGTCTACGAGAAAAAAAGTTTGCATCGTCACATTCAAACCTGCACAGTGACGATCAGGAGTTAATCTGAATTAAAAAAACAAGCTCCAATAAAATGTTAATTCTAAAATAAACAGATTCATGTCACGCTCCCTCTTCACTTGTTGTCATGGTTACCTGCTTCTGTGGCGCCCGGTCGCACCGTCTCCTCCTCCATCATCCAGGCTTTCAGGCATCTCTCTCTCAGCTGCTGCATCTTCTGTGCCCGGAGAATATTACGGCATTTAAACTCCAGGTGGCGCAACTCCTCATCGATGAGCGCCATCTCGTGCTCACTCAGGGTCTCGTTGCAGTTCACGTCCACCACCGGGCAGGAAGCGGCGTCCTCTCCTTCCTGTTCTGCCTCCTCTTGTACTCCTCTGCCTTCTGCCTGCACGTCCTCACGATCGGTTTTCACCATCTCTTTGTGGTGTTTTTTATGTCGTCTCTCGTATTCACATTTTATCTCCAGCAGCTCCTTGTATCGCTGGCACTCCTCCTCCGTCAGGCCCGGCATCATCATCATCATGGTCAGAGGCGGCTGGTGGTGATGGTGGTGGTGGTGCTGCAGGTCAGAGGTCAGTTAGAAGCCAGAAACCAACAACAGGCCCGAGCAGTGTTTCATTGATCCTGTCACAGTATTTTAATTTGTGCCTTCCACGGGCGGATTTTCCTCATTAGGGGCCCCGGGGCAAGAATCTGTTCTGGGCCCCGGATGACCTCCACGATACCTGACGCTTTAAAATGAACTCTAAAGATGAAATCATTGGTTAATTGACAGAAAATGACTGAATAGTTTTAATAGTGTTAATAAAAACTGAGGGAGATCCACCATGTTAGTTTAACATTTTAATGGATCATCAAGTCATGTCTTCATAAAGTTTTAGGGAAATCTGTTGATCGTGTAATAAACTGACGCTGAGGAAACAGGAGCTCGGAGTTAACACATGTG